CCCCCCCCCCCCCTGGGACAGATTGGGTCACAATTGAGCGCATGGATATCACAAACGCATTCTCATCGTACAATATCACATTCAACAGATGTCAGGCTATCTGATACAGACACGACGAGGCATCAGTTCCGGCTATCAGAATAAAGTATGCAAGTTAATTTTGCAATAAATGAATAGTATTCTTCACATCTAGTGAAAGTGGCCTCGGCTTTCCACCCATGTGTGAGTAGCAGAGCAGATTCGCTGTCGGATACTGGCCACAGCAGAAGCGGTGGCTTTCATTGGCATAACTTCCATAATTTATCTCCCTCCCCCCTCCCAAAAAAAAAACACGCTGTATCGCGATTGAGCTCGATGATCGGAGGAGTTGAGAAACGAATATGCTTTTCATTTCCCCCGCTTCATTTGCTATATACACGACGAATTCACCTTTGAAATTGAATCAAATCCTCCGTTACTCACATGAAATAAGTAGTCAGGTTGTGATTGTTTCCAATCGAATCATAACCCCGGAGGCTAGAGCTGAGATGAGCGAGGTCTGTGACTCGGAACGAGCTCACAGAAATAGAAAATGATAAACGGGCTGATCAGCTGCCCGGTGGCCGTATGGGTGGTATTCTTGCGCTCGTTTTTCGGTCTACTCCTTTTTTCCAGTTGGTTGTCTGCGGTTGCAAATATTCCCATTATACGCAAGAAAATCTAGACAACTGTCTTTACTCTTATGCACTGTTTAACTTCCAAATACATGTGTTGGAACCAGTATTCGGTGATTTCTCCTATAGAATAAATCTATGAGAAATGGAAAGGTGAAATGCACTCACTTTCTCTTCTCTAACTCAATTCCTCCTACGGCACTATCATGGCACAAAGTTAGCTGTTACTTTGTTGTCTTTCAATCAGAACGCTCGCCTAAAATTTTAACGGGGGAAGGCTATTTTTGTTATCCAAATGGTGCGCGCGAACAGAACGCGGGAAATGAATTCAGACGCCGCGGCGGACAAAAAACGGGGTTGTTTGTTTGTGTGTTTGTGTTCCATCCGAAACTTGTCGGAATAAGTTTGTCGGAATCATCCATGAGCTTCAAAACTCAACGCCAATTTTGTTATCATGGTTATCGTCACACATAAAGGCAGAAATACGTTAGATTTGCTTTCGAATCAATAAGCAAAGCAGATTGTTGGATCAGTTAGCCGTGAGTAAACGCAGTATTTTGGTCGCTGTTACAAACGTGCTTTGAACCCTATAGTCCGAGATTCGAGCCTCGCCACTGCCACTGCCACCCAACTTCGGTGGTAGGCAGCTTTTCTATCGTCCGGTTCAATACCATGCCTAGCCTATCTGGACCTTACGAGGTTCGCCACTCCAAGTCCCGCGGGACTTAGGTTACCGGTTTCCACCACTGTTGTTTTTATTGCTATGGTTGTTGTCGTTATTGTTGATGGTGGTGCTGGGGGTGACGGTCTATGACATTGTCTTTGGTGTCATCATCGTCCTCTTCGTCATCGTCCTCTTCTTCGTCGTCATGATGTCCATCGATTTTTTTAAATAGCCGTTGCCAGTACATCTAAAACTTTGGCAGTTGATATTTAATCGCTATAATCGCTACCCAAAAACACCATACGAAAAAACGAACTTCATTGTGCAATAAAATGCATCAATCAGGAACGTAGCAAACAGAAAACGGGTGTTAAATAACGGTCGGATGGAATGCATTGATTGGTTCTGACTTCCTCGGTGCGCAAACAGCATTTTCGCATTATACCTCGGTATTCCGTAGGAAAGCAAATTCCATGTTGGGGATAGTAATTACCTAGAATGATTTGAAAACTGATATATAAATGTGACCTGTAGTTATGTGTTTATGCGATCTTTTGTCATTTTTTTGGAGGGGGATATAGGATGAACACCGTGAGCAAATTGTTTAAAGCAGTACGTATAGTCTTTGTGGTAATAGTAGTATTAGTACGCACAGAATGCGGAATACGAATCACGGATTATCAATCACGGATGTCACATAAGCACTGGATTACACTGGCACTTGCACACAATAGCCCACTTAAGGGAGACGTGAGGAAAATGCCAAATAAGTAGTGGTTTGTTTATTGAAAGAAATTAGGGGGTTAAAATAATACGTACAAAACAAGTTCATTGGTCATCCATGCCTCTGCCGATCGCGTTCTAGTATTTCTGCCACTGTTCAGCTTCTGTCTGAGCAGCACGGTCTGTGATTGGCTGGTTCATTCGGCTTATGTTTTGTAGTCCAGAAGCTGTGACACGTACGCGCTTTGATGACGTCGTCCGGGTTGATCACAGTTGTCGGAAAACTGTGACACGGCGCTCCGTGGTATACGTCATCTAGTAGACTAGGGTCACCACAGTACGGCACAGATGTTTGCTTGTTTTTGCTCAAACTCATCGGCGAAAAACATTCATCACATGATTTGGAACTCCAATAAGGAAGTGCACTTGCCGATTATTGAGGCTCGGTGGCGGTTTCGTTCATCAAGTACATCCAGACATACTGAAAAGTTCATGATTTTCGACTGGTCGAATAATATTGGAAGTACATTTCAGAAATTGTTCCATTTCCTCTCTCTCTGTCTATCGTGACAGACAAATACATTTCTACATGCTGTTTTTCGTTAACCAATTTGTTCTGCATACTGCAAGAGCTGGGAACCCCAAATCGGATCCCGGTATCTTAAATATATATATATATATATATATATATATATATATACATTCAACGGGCATCTCGATAACAATAACCTCGGTAAAATAATTGTTTCAAATTTAAATTGTTTTTATTTATTTTATTGGCTGAGATTTGAGGACGGTAAGTTAGAGCTTTTCAATTCATATGCACCACGTATGGAAGCAAATAAGAACATAAACTTCAAAATAAAGTAGAAGTGAAAATTTGGGCAAACAAAATGCTCTCCCACACGGTTGTGTGAAACTTTGGTGAGCCCACTTGGATACCCTCCCTCAGGTGGAAGCTCATCACTATCCATTAAACTGTTCGGTTGTCTATCCAACTAGTTTAGCTCTGATTGTTGTGTGTATACGCATCATATAGCCCAACCCGGATTCGGAAATCGTACTGCGACTCACAACACTTTGCCTTCATGGAATTAGCCTTCACGTGTTAGATATATAGTAAAATGACGCTCGACCGGTTTTTCCAGTACTTCTTAGTTTCATAATTTTCAAATCACTTTGTTGCCTAGAGCCAATCTGATTCCATTTGATTACAAAAGTTTCAAACATTTTCGTCGCAGCCGTTCCAGACGGACTAATGGCTTCCATCAGCCCCATTCTTTTTCCTAGAGACTTGGTGATAGAACCAGTCATATTGCTCACGATTTACCATCCATTTTTATCTGTATTTCAGTTCCAAAGCGCACAAACACAACAACAGCAACCACGGGAAGCCCGGACTGTTTGCGAACAGGGATCGGTTCAGACGTTACACTATCCTGAGGAAGCATCGTTCCTATCCGTTCCTGTTTGCCCAATCGAATCCGCAAGCCACGCTTCAACGAGAGTTGCAATTCGTGCACGATGGAATGAGAAGATTGGAAAAACAGATTTGTCAAATGATGCAACTAATTCAATGCGAGTTGATGAAACAGCAACAATGAAACGGCGGTGCAGATGGAGCATGTCCAGCCCGGCAGTCGACTGAGCCCAATCAAACTGGCTTCGCGTCCGCTAGGACGAGGTGTTTTCTAACTCGGTCAATCATCTTGCTCTATTGCTCATAAACTGATCGGCGCCTTCTGTTTTTCTCATTCATCCTATCAACCCCTTTCAAACAGATTCTCGGTTGCTTTCCTCTCGTTGTACAATTTGAGTGTACTTGTGTGCATGTGTGTTTTGTGAGTGAGTTTATATATATATGTGTGTGTGTATGTGTATCTTTATACGAGATGCGTACAAATTGTGGAGAACTGCAACACATGACTATTCCTGTAATGCCTATCCCAGAATTCGTGATTTTCTTCGAGTGACTATTTTCTCTATCCATATCTATATGATGCTACCCAAACAACTGCTCCTTTGATGCACACTGAGATTCTATACTCATTTGTATTCCTGAAAAAGATATAATTTTTTTATATAATAGAAACCCAGTCCCTAAAGGGGACAATGCCTGTTGTTCCATTTTTTTATGGTCACAAGATTCTCGCGGTCGGCTTCGCACCGTTCTTTTCAACTTGACTCTACCGAACAATTGCGTATTCCCTGTGTGTGCATGTTTGTGTGTGTGTGTGTGTGCGTGTGTTTGGGGCTCTCGTTCCTCACACGTAACTACCCTCATCCCATCCGTTCCCCCTCCCTCTCTCGCTCCCACCATCTCCTCATTGCCTTTCATAAAGTCTCACGTCTCTCACATTCCATTACGGTATTTTGATTTCAATGAGACATCGTAGTTATGGGCCTACTTCTAATCTGTCTACACAAACACACTGCTTTTGTGTTCCGTCTAAGCAGGTACATAAGCACACAGTCACTTGTGCTGCACGTTTATTGCAGAGGGCGCACGTATAGCTGGTCCATAGGCCGGTGAGCAAGTAGAAAGGGGCAACACGTAGGAAGGCAGGCTACAGATAGGCAGGTCAACAACTGGCTCATGCATCACACGTGACAACCGAAAAGCCGTCAAACCGGCATTCAAACATTCAGCCAATCAATCAGTCAGCGTGGGAGCAATTCAATACTAATATCTGATTGGCTGGAGCCGATCGATAATATATAGCAGAGTCAGTCCGCATAGTGTGGGTGTGTGCGTGTATACGACCTGACAGCATCTATGAATCCATTGCTTGACAGGGTACTACCGAATCAGGCTCTGAAGTACAAGGTACAAAATATTGGCCTAAGAGAAAAGACCCGCAAGCAATTAACTGACGATAGGATAGTGACTACAGATGGGAAATTAGTTCGTTAGTTATTTATCGATCAACCAGGTGATCTACTGTCGAACACTATTAGAAAGGGAGGAAGAAGAAGCAGAGGACGAAGATACCCACACAGGTGACTGCAGCAATCAAGGT